TGTGTATGTGTGGAATAAGTCTTCTAAGCATCTATACTGCGACACTGAAGGAAATAGATTTCTGCAAAGTGGAAAAGAGCGAATTGTCAAAGTCACGAATTCTATGGATCTCTATTGAATCTTCTCAATCCTGGGTACGAATATTCCCTTGACTATAGTCAGGGCGCTAATCTGAAAATTGACTGTGCTTGCATGGTTATTTATTTCTCTACAGGGTACTACTTTCAATCTATCTCAGAGCACAAAGAATTCTTTAGGGTACCTTGAGTCCTCAATCTCTGTATTTTGAAGATACCCTTAGACTCTCAAATCCTATTACATAAGGGTACCCGTTGGTCCTCAAGAACTACTATATGGGGATCTCATATGTTGTAAAGGTCTATTATATGATAGTATCTATAGACTCTCAAGGGATGTGGGTGTGAATGAAGAAGAGACACCCATACTCACATGCACACACCCATACCCACACCTACACCACCCACACCCACCCACCCTCAAGAGTTGTGGTTGTCGTTCAAGAAATGGTGAATGTATTAATGTGAGATGAGAAAATTTACGTTTCAATGAAAAGCCACGATCGGACATGATTTGATCTCCATTTTCTAGAAGTTCGATTAAACTGCCAGGTCCTTCCATGTTCAAAAGTGCTTGATCAGTTGTGGCACCTCAATATAAAGAAGAAACATATGATATCACTCCGTTAGGTGATATCCCAATAAGTCCTAAAAAGATAAAAAGCCTTAGTGAAGGATGATGTATAAAACAAACTCATGAAATCATTTACCTTTAGCTGTGTTGGTGTTTTTGTAGTTTGACCACGTGTTTTGTTGCGCTTGCGGATTCTTCGGTTGCTCTATTTCGAACTCTGTGCAATCTATAATAACCCTCACATCGGGATAATTTTTCTTCATTTCAAATGGTAAGTTGTCTTGTACTTTTTCTCTAGATTGCCAGATGCGTATTGAAGAAAAAACTGAATAAATAAATCTAGTCCATGATATTATTATTCTGCTAACAGTGGACTGAGATAAATAGAAAAACACTCCCTAAAAATGAAAAATATTTAGACAGATACTATCTAAAAAAACAACTTATCAGTTCTTGTATATCAGTTCCTCTTCGTAGCCGTATCATAAATAAAAAAAATTGATTCATCTTAGATAGTTTGTATGTATCTGTTAACTTGTTATATTGCAAACCACATTCTACTGGAGTAGAGTACATTGTAAAATATTCATCAAAATAACTCTATAAAAAAAGAATCATTAATGAAAATATATTTTATCAAATAATGTTTCTTACGTCGAATAATTCAAAAACCATTTCAAATATTCTGTAAGATTTGAAACTAGTGTAATAACTTACACAATAATCATCATTTTCAAAACTTCAATACACAGGACTGTGTTAAATACTTTTTGTTCAAGAAGTGATAGTTTAGTAAACATGGCAGTTAAAGTACTCATATCAAGATCAGTTTGAGTACTTGGTGAACTTGATTGCATCGTTCTGGTATCATTAATAGTGAATGACAGAACTTCAACAGGTACTGTAGATGATTTTAATCGTGTTCGACCACTATCATTAATCTTTTTTTTTCGAATTCATAATAAAAGACGAAGATAAAAAATGAGAACTACATACAACGATGTTGGAATATTTTTTTAAATCATGACGATTGAGTCGTTTAAGCCATGTTTCTCGTAGATTAGTATTTTTTAGAAGGCGATGAAAAGAAACATTTTGTGATGATCCTTCCTTATTAGAACAAGCAATACATGATCTCACCATGTTTGTTGAAGTTAAACGAAGATTGAAATGAGATATACATTTCTGTTCGATTTGTTACAACTTATCGTTCTCACAAACGGATCATTTCATTATTTTGTCAATGAATAGATAGTCATTAATTAGTGACAATATAAGAAAACACTGATTGAAGCCAATTAGTCAATTATACATTGGCACCTCGTTTGATGTAATTTAATTATTTTAATAAACAGAATATGTACCAACATCATTCGTGTGTCTATTCATTTCTATCTTCATTTTTTTCTATCTTCTTTTCTCATTTCACTTACCTTTTCATGGCAACTTCATCTTCACTATCATGCATTTCAATCGTTGATTATAGACGTCCATTTAACATTGGTGCAAGTTCTATTACCGAGTATTTTTGCTCTGTGTTAGCCTCTGATGGACGTTCAAATCGCGAGGCGCTACGAAATGGAAATCTGTTATTCAGGAATCATTTTGTTCATTCCATTACTATTAGTCGGCGATATATCGAAATAACCATCACAGCAAAATGCCGCGCTCAAATGAAAAAAGCAGTTATTTACGAAGTAAGTGATTTAACATTTATGAAGTTGAAAACTTTAATCATAATACTTTGAGCGTTTGGATATTACTAGTTTAAAAGTATAAGTAGAAAGAAAATATTTGTAGTGCATATGATATTTCAAATTTATGAGTTTGTTTCATTTCGAAAAAAGCATCTAAATGATATATTTAACTTGATATTCAGAATGGTTTTATTTTAGGTGAAATTATTGATAAATAGCAATCGTCCAGCAGATATTATAAGTGCATGTTGTGAATGTGTAGCCAGTCAAGGACCTAAAGCAGCTTGCAAGCATATCGCCGCCTTATGCTTCATATTATTAGATTTTGATGATAAAAAACTTTATGATGCATGTACTCAAAGACTTCAAGAATGGCATAAACCTACGCGTCGCTCGATGAATCCAGTCGCTTTATTAGATATTGATTTTGGCTGCCTAAAACATAATGCACAGTGGGCAACCAGGCGGACATGACCGATAGTTCTATTTTCCAAA